AAAAAAATATATCTATATATATATAAACTTAACCTTTTCAAAAGAGAGCCTTTGATATATATATATATATATATATATATATAAATTGTTATTCTCACTCGTTCTTTATTTCCTGATCAATAAAATGGAAACATTTTTATTATTTTAGTTCTTTATTTAGTTCTTTTTTAAAGTTTTTTTCAAATTGAATATTACTTATGTGATTTCAATATGCTTAAGAGCTTAATTAGTAACTAATTTATTTCTGAAAAAATAAAATGCTATTTATTTCTTATAACTGCTAAAATGGAGTCAAGGCTTGATCTAGAAATGTGAGAAACATAGGCACAAAATTGTCAAGGGCTCCCTGTCATATTTTTAATCCAAATTTACGTTTTGCTATTCATGAAGTGCCTTTAAATTATTTATAGCACGAGTAAATTTCGATATATTAGTAAATTAAAGCTTATATTTATTAACATTCTGTCAACTTCTAAGTCGATTAGACAATTTTTAGGATATATACAAAATGAAATTTTTTGAAATATATAAGGGGCCCTATGCCTGGGCTTCTCAGACCTAATGATAAATCAGGCGCTAAATGCATTGTAAGTAAGAATTCTATTAATAATTATTTTTTTGCGATGAAAAAACTGCTTAAGGCGAAAAATTACCTGCAAAATATTACTTCGAAATTTGACATTTCAACAACATCACGAAACGAAACAAATTTGCTCACTAAACGTAAGTCTCCAATCTTTTTTAACACCGCAGACGAATTTTCAATTTCCATCTTAAATTAATTTTCTCCTGAGAATGTAAACAGCTTTCTTTAAAAAAAAACTTTCCTTTTCCTCAATTTATTGATCACATAATTTAGACAATTTTTTTTAATTGAATTATCAGCTTTAATTTATTCTTTTGCTATCACCCGTCACCTTGAGAATCAGATAAGAAAGAAGAGTATCATCATCAAATATTGAGATAAATAACAATGAAGACTAAGAAACACTGATTAGAAAAAATAAATAGAGTAAAAGTTGGAAATTTGTCCAAGTTGTATGAGGGGGTGTCTAAACAGCAAACATTGTCGCCACTGATAAGGGGTGAGAGATTAGCAGTTTCTTTTTTTCAGAGACGGGAACGAGTGTTGAAATAATATTCCGACATATTTATTTTTTTAATTCACTTTCACAAGTTATTTCACATTTAACCAATTAGTATAGCATTTCGACATTTAATTTTAATTTTGTTGACTTTTTTGCGAATTATTTTCAACTTTTTTAATCATTCAAATGAATTTTTCTCACCCCTCATATTTTAAACCTTTGACACACAGTCCCTTTTGTATATATTTTTTCTGACGCTCTTGTACAATATTACAATAATTACAACCAAAAATATATTTTGGTACTTTTAATTACAAAAAACAGTTTAATAGTTGCGGGAAAAATCTGTTTTATTATCGGAATTATATTTATACTAAAATATAAAAATCCGAAAGGAAAAAAAAAAAAAAAAAAAAATATTCTGAAAAAAAATTTCTTAATTCGCATTCTAAATTTAAAAAAAAATTTTTTTTACAAATAAAAGAAAGATCACTAATTAATATCTGTTTCTCTTCGATCTAAATAACTGCAAATATTAAGTGCATATTTGAAAAGTTATTGTTTGGAAGTGAGCCGTGTCTGGAAGATTTACCTTTAAGGCAGTAAAATACACCAGTGTTTCAGGCTGTCTTTCATAGCCATAAATTACATAAATGATAAATATAATATTTTTCCGCTATTTTGACATAAATACACTCTATAACAAAAAAATCGACGCACCAAGAAGCAATCATCCGATTGCTTTGAAATTTCATATGCATGAATGTTTTGAACAGATATGGCTGGAATGATGCCGACTGGGGACGTATAGTCTTTAGCGACGAACTGTGTCCTAACGATCATCGAAGACGTGTTTGGGGACGCACTGGGCAGAGGGAAGGGGGATCCTGCCCTCACCATTGCACGCCACACCAGTCCTCAACAAGGCATTATGGTCTAGGGTGATATTTCCTTTGACAGCCGGACCCCTTTGGTCGTCATTAGAGGTACACTTACTGCACAGCGGTACGTCGACGACATCCTAAGACCTGTTTTGCTACCGTTCCTTTTGCAGGGCCCAGGGTTGGTTTTTCAGCAGGACAATACCAGACCACATACGGCACGTGTTGCTATGAACTGTCTGCAAGCTTGTCAAACTCTTCCTTGGCCTGCCAGATCACCAGATATCTCTCCCATCGAGCATGTCTGGGATATGATGGGAAAGCGATTGCATCTGACCCGGAATGTTGGTGACCTCGTTCGACTATTGGATCGAATTTGACAGGAAATATCGCAAGAGACCATCCGGGAGCCTTATCGGTCTATGCCACGCCATGTGGCAGCTTGCATCCAGGCTAGAGGCGGGTCAACACCTTATTCAACTTGTTACTGTAACTCTGCAATAAATTATTCAATTGTTCTGAAATTTCAACCATTTACTATTCTGTTCATTGCCTTCCTATCCACTAATTTTCATTTCAATCGGACAACTCCTTCTTGGTGCGTCGATTTTTTTTTATAGAGTGTATAATACAAAAAATGAGAACGTGTAAAAATTATGTGTAAAAGGGTTGACATTTTTGTTCTATAATTTTCTTTAAAATTAACAATTAATCGCCTGTCCTAAGCGCTGACAGTTAACGCATCATCATTCGGCATCATTAGTACATGTCGATTTTCAAAGGTAAATTTTAGGCAATATTTGCTATTCCAAATTTTTTGCGAAAGATGCCTTTGTACATTAAAATGAATTTCAAAATTATATAAAAAACACAGTATTTTTGAAACGTTCTTGAAAATTTCCCGTTGGAAATACTTTAGAAAAAAATCAAAGCAAAAGTTTTTAATTTGAGTACAATATTCATTTGTCATTAGGTCCCTCTAGAGCTGGTGTTTTATGTTTGTCTTAGTTTCTTCTGCATAACTTCACGTCGCATGCCTACAGCATGATTATGTGAAGTTGTGGCAGAAACTTAACATATGCTTCATACCATAATATATGCTTTAAAAAATATCCCGTTAAGAGCAGTCTATATTGCAGAAGAAGCTTTTCACTACAAATACTCTTTTACCGCCATAAAAAATTTAAAACTTAAAGTATCGAGAAATTGAGTTCAGACAAGCCTATAGTACGTCATGAAGATTCAATTTTTAGAGAAAAATACTTCATTGCATGAAAATGAAAACAGATTATTGAAAGAGAACTTTCCCGTTGCGTAATTCTAAGTCATTTGTTCTCAATTTGAAATTTTGAAAATTTCTTTTCAGTATTTAAAACCTCAGAACTTACTCAAGGTTTGTCTGAATTCACTTTTTTCTACACTTTGAATTTTACATTAATAATGGAGGTGAAAAAAATTGCAATGAAAAGTTTCTCCCGTGGTATGGCGTCCTCATAAGGTAAAGATAAAAGTTACAACATGTCTTTAAAGTATGTTGTTCATCCTCAAATAGGCTGGCTCAAGGCATAAAACTAAGCTCAGTTGTATCTTACTTTGTTTTTTGATAGTTGGGCAATTCCATATGTGACGGAATGACATNGGCAGCTTGTATCCAGGCTAGAGGCGGGTCAACACCTTATTGAACTTCTTACTGTAACTCTGCAATAAATTATTCAATTGTTCTGAAATTTCAATCATTTACAATTCTGTGCATTGCCTTCCTATCCACCAATTTTCATTTCAATCGGACATCTCCTTCTTGGTGCGTCGATTTTTTTGTTATAGAGTGTATAATACAAAAAATGAGAACGTGTAAAAATTATGTGTCAAAGGGTTGACATTTTTGTTTTATAATTTTCTTTAAAATTAATAATTAATCGCCTGTCCTAAGCACTGACAGTTAACGCATCATCATTCGGCATCATTAGTACATGTCGATTTTCAAAAATAATTTTAGGCAATATTAGCTATTCCAAATTTTTTGCGAAAGATGCCTTTGTACATTATAATGAATTTCAAAATGAAATAAAAAACACAGTATTTTTGAAACATTCTTAAAAATTTCCCGTTGGAAATACTTTAGAAAAAAAATCAAGGCAAAAGTTTTCAATTTGAGTACAATATTCATTTGTCATTAGGTCCCTCTAAAACTGGTGTTTTATGTTTGATTTAGTTTCTTCTGCCATAACTTCAAGTCGCATGCCTACAGCATGATTATGTGAAGTTATGGCAGAAACTTAACATATGCTTCATACCATAATATATGCTTTAAAAAATATCGCGTTAAGAGCGCGCTATATCGCAGAAGAAGCTTTTCACTACAAATTCTCTTTTACCGCCATAAAAAATTTAAAATTTAAAGTATGGAGAAATTGAGTTCAGACAAGCCTATAGTACGTCATGAAGATTCAATTGTTGAAAAAAAATACTTCATTGCATGAAAATGAAAACAAATTACTGAAAGAGAACTTTCCCGTTGCGTGATTATAAATCATCTGCTCATGATTTGTTTTCAATTTGAAATTTTGAAAATTTCTTTTCAGTATTTAAAACCTTAGGACTTACTCAAGGTTTGTCTGAATTCACTTTTTCTACACTTTGAATTTTACATTAATAATGGAGATGAAAAAAATTGCAATGAAAAGTTTCTCCTTTGGTATGGCGCCCTCTTAAGGTAAAGATAAAAGTTACATGTCTTCAAAGTATGGTGTTCATCCTCAAATAGGCAGGCTCAAGGCATAGAACTAAGCTCAGTTGTATCTTACTTTGTTTTTTGATAGTTAACAGTTTTTAATAATCACTTTGATTTTCATTTGATTAACAATTGTTAAAATATTTTAGTTGTTGCCAGATGCAATTGTCAATTGAGTATCTAACTCTCGGCTTCGAACACAATCATTTTTTTTAATTAAATAATAAAAAGTTTATGAAAAAGTTTAAAAAATATGGCTTGTTTCCCTTTTTTTTTTCAAAATAAAAACTACAATCAACGTTAACTACTCAGCATATTTTATTGAGGGAAGCGAATAATAAATCAAACAAAATGCTAATATTGACAATCTTTTTCACAATAGATCATGACCTTAATAGCAGTTCCAGAATGAGCAATCTCAAAGGCTTTTTCACTTTCCTCTAATGAGAATTTATGGGTAATCAAAGGCTTCATGTCCACCGCTCCACTTGCAATTAGCTCTAAGGCTGCTGGATAACAGTTTGCATAGCGTAAACTTCCACGCACATCAACTTCTCGAACTGTGGCTTCTATAATAGGTATTTTTATATCACATAATCCTATTCCAACTAACATAAGCAAACCTCCTGGTGCAGTAGCCTTGAAATATAAATAAATTGAAATTAATAGAAAAGAAATTCTCAAAATGACAAAATAAGCCCCACTTTACTTAACTCATAGTCAGTCGTAAACTAAATCTAGCAGACATTTTTTTGTCGTATACCTGTTTAGGCAGTGGGGGTGCGATTGTTCCTGTTTTTCAGTGGCGCCATCTATGACCAGGAATTCGACTTCTGCCACTCCATTCACACAACCACAACCCGTTTATAGAGCTGGTCACATTCACACACATTCGCACACAAAGGAGAAAGGACATAGAACACAGAGAGAGAGAAAGAAACATCCATGCCTTGCCCGGGATTCGAACCCAGGACCTTTCTGATATAAGGACAGCTCCCTACCCCTTACACAGGCCGGTCGGCTCCAGCAGATATGAGACATTTGATCGATCAGATATCTAGTAGGGTCCGGACACTACTAGATATCCGGATTACAGCTGTGGTGGCTCAGTGGATAGAGCGTTCGCCTTCCAATGAGGTGAACTGGGTTCGAATCCCAGTGATGGCTGATCAATACGATTTCTGCACCCGGCTCTCTCATACCACAGTGCTGACGTAAAATATCCTCAGTGGTAGACAGAACATGGGTCAGAGTCTTCTTGCAGCCAGGCTAACCGTGGGAGGTTTTCGTGTTTTTCCTCATCTTGTAAAGCAAATATGGGTTAGTTTTATCAAAACGTCTTCCATGAAGGCAAGTTTCTCCCAATACTTTATCTACGAGTTCCCTTGTCTCCTGGATTGAGTTCAAAATTACAAGGCTGCGGAGTTAGTAGTCGTAAGCCCTAAATTAGGTCGGCATGTCAGCGACGATAATAAAATAAAATGGGTGCTGTTTTAATGAACTACAAATATATTATAGGTATTGTTATTTTTTATTTGGTAAGTTTTTTATGGAAAAATTACTTGATTGGGACAAATGTTTTGAAAGTATGCCAAATTATAATTATTATTGTTATTTTTTATCTTGATGGAAGGAATGTCCAAATACATGTTTGCTTAAACTAATAACTTAAAGTCAATGGAAAGCGCAGCAAATAATAAAAAATATTTGAATTATCTTAAATTTTGCTAGTATATTCCTTTCAATTTTGTGGATTTTGTAGTTTTTAGTAATATTAATTTATTGATAATTTACTTTTTACCTCCTAATGAAGAACGAGTTACGAAAAACGAGAATTTTACACACGTATATGCTGCAATATTATAAAGAGATAATATAATTTGACTGAAATGTTTCTGCCTTTTAGAAGAAAGACTCACGAGCTTAAATTACTATTCGCAAAACCTAAATTGGGTCTGCTGTTCAACGACTTTTATAAGATTGAAAGATTAAATTTCTGATTCAATGGGCCTATTGTTAAGAGAATTGTTATTGTTTTTAATGACATTAGGAGAAGCCAAGATGGTTAGCTACTAACTTTAAAAATTAATTAAGGAAAGAGGACCTTTGGAATGACATCGATCAGAATATCTCGGATAGAAAGCTGCACAACTCTATAGTGAGGCCATTTTCCCAATTTAGACATAGATCTGAAGGGAATGGAAATTTTCTCCAAATCTCTGTATTCATGGTTCTGCTTGGCGACCTACTGTAAATCTTTCCATTCCACGGATTTCACGAACACGTATTTTGCATGTACTCGTTGAGTATTAAGACTCGATGTTGGGAGTTTTACATGACTGGGGGTACCGTGACCAGCTGCTACGTCTTTAACTGCTTAGTCTGCTGTTTCATTACTAATTACACCGAAGAGCCTTTGCATTATGACCACCCTGCTAATAACATGTAGGACCACCTTTAGCCCTCGAAACTGCTGCCGTGGCATTGAATCCACAAAGTGCTGATAGGTAGTCTGAGGTATCTGGTACCAAGCACTCACCAACTGGTCCTGCAATTCCCTCACATTGCGAGAGGGTAGCGCGGCAACACGAATTTGGTTTTCCAAGTAGGTCCACAAATGCTCTATTGGATAAGGATCATGTGAATTTCGGGGCCAAGACATGACTTGAAAGTCACTGGAATGTTCCTCGACGATTCAATCCTTATGACATGGTGCATTATCCTGTTGTTAAACACCATCCCCCGCAGGAAAAACTGTTGCCATGTATGGATGAACTATGTTCAAGTAGCTTACGGACGTCAAGGATTGTTCTATGAGGATTATGGGTCCTAATGTGTCCCATCAAAACATTGTTCCTGGGCGAGAAACCATGAAAACCTAGGCGAGCCCATTGTTATAGATGGAGGGTGGTCATAATGTAATGACTCTTCGGTGTATATCTGTGTGTGCTGCCTCCTAATGTATTTGCGTGGCAGCACACACAGGTATAATCGGTAATAAAGCAGCAGACCAGGCAGCTAAAGATGCAGCTGCGGGTCGCGTACCCCCAGAAATGTGAAGCTCTCGCAATCGAGTCATAAAAATCCGCTACCGTTCTCTTATCGTCCTCCGAACACCCGTTTTCTTACTTGATTCCAAGAGTTAACCAGAGAGGAACCGCCTCTCCTGAACTAACAGTACTGACCCCAAATCAAACCCAAATTCTATTTATTCACAAAAGGAGAATAAAGATGGAAAACTCAACTACTTTTAAAACGACTCTTCTACTCAACTACTTTTAAAGTACCAGAACTTGCAGACTGTTTGGCATCATAAAATAATCACCGCAGCCAAAATTAAGTTCTTATAATAACTAAAAATGAACCATAACTTCTTTCAAGAGGACGCCACACAACGAAAGAAACTTTTCACCCCAAACTTTCTTTCACCTCCATTACCAATTTGAAATACAAAAGAAAGAAAAAGTGAGTAGAGGCAAACCTAGAATAAGCCATTAAATTTCTGATGCTGAAAAAAATTTATAATATCAAAATGCAAACAAATTATTGGAAAAGAGCATTTTCCATTGCGTGATCCAAAGTTATCTTCTTATAATTTATTTTCATTTTGATATTTTAAAAATTTCTTTTCAGTATTTGAAATTTCATGGCGTGCTCTAGGTTTGTCTGAACTCACATTTTCTACACTTTCACTTTTAAATTGGTTATGGAGGTAAAAAATGGTGATGGAGGCTATGTTTCCCATGTGGCATGGCGTCCTCTTAACAGTGTAAATATTCGAAATCATAAATAATTACCGAAACACCATTTTTTTCCGTTCTTTTTTTATTGAAACGATTCGGGAACTTTGGAAGAATTTATTAAGAGGGCAATCACACCCATTGGCAGAACATTGGAGTATAGAGTTACCCCGAATATAATTGACCCCGAGGATAGAGTTAAGCCTATCCTCGGGGTGACTTAGCAAACTCAGCTGAATTCTCTTCTTTCCTTCAGGTAGCTCCTTTTAGCAATACCAACACAGATACATATATAATATACAATACAGATCAATGCTTATACAAAACACTGCTATTGATCTAGATTCAATTAACATCAATGATGCTACTCAATTCATTTTCTAGTACTTACTTTGAGGCCAAGACTAACGCCAGATTGTGCACCACTACACTCAATTGTGCGATCAGGCAGGGATCCTAATTGTCTTTCTACTTCTTTTACGACATCACTAATCTCTAAATCTTTCACACAAATCGTAGAAGAGGCTCCCAGACTCTTAGCGACCTTTAGGCGATTCTCGTTGATATCTATTAATAGTACCATTAATAAATTAAGAATAACATTTTAAAAAAAGAGAAATCTGTTCAGAAAGCATGCAGTTATTTCCTTAACAAATTCCGTAGGCAAATACCTCCATGGATACATCCTAGCATGAATAAATATTTCTCAAATATAATTGATTTTGATTTACCCCTTCGCGACGGAAGTTACAAAAGCGTGATTATTCTGCCGAGAATCTATCGCAAGCGTTTGTCCACTGCCGGAGGTTGTTTTTTTTTGTTTTTAACGTGTTCTTAGATAATGTACTGCAAAATAGATAAACGACATATACTGAGGCCGAGAATTTCTTTCGCGAGACTTTGTCCAGAGCCGGATGTTTTTTGTTGTTATGCCTAAATCCATAAAATGGTTGAAATATGAACGAATTATTAGATTATGTACTGTGAAATAGATAAACGACATAGACTGTGGATATGTTTTAGTTACATACTTTATTTACTTACTTTATTTACTCAAGTTTTTCCTTATTGAAATACATTTTTACACAATTTCTGCTACTTCGAGTTCAGCTAAAAACATTCGGTGCATCGACATTGTAACGCTAAAGACCAACACAAAAATTACGGCTACAAGTTCTATTTATATAATTATAAATATTATGTTGTAATGTTATGTTCAGATTAGTCTTATTTCCTTATTCATATGTATGATTCACTTTTTTTAAAAATTAACACGTAAAGAAATTACTTGCTATTGAAGTTTGAATTAAAGTTTTAAATTTAGCTGGAAATATAAAAGAAACATATATTGAAGTTTCTGAACTTGAACAAGTTAAGTTTAATTTTAGAAAGTGTTTAAAATGATTATACATTGAAGAGCCAAAAAACCTGGTCTACGCATGAGTATGCAAATAAAGGGGTATGGAGCCAATCAAAGCACAGCGCTGCGATCGGCAACGCGTATACAAGACAACGAGTGTCTAGCACAGTTCTTAGATCGGTTACTGCTGCTGCAATGCCAGGTTATACAGATTTAAGTGAGTTTGAACGTGGTGTTACAGTCGGCTCACGGGAGATGGGACATAGCATCTCCGAGATAGCAGTGAAATTTGGATTTTCACGCACGACCGTTTCACGAGTATATCGTGAGTATCGAAAATCCGGTAAAACATCAAATCTACGACATCGCTGCTGTCGGAAAAAGATCAAGCAAGACTGGATCAACGACGATTGACGAGAATCATTAAACGTGACAGACGTGCAACCCTTCCACAAATTGCAGCAGATTTCAATGCTGGGCCATCAACAAGTGTCAGTGTGCGAACTATTCAACGGAACATCATCGATATGGGCTTTCGATACGGGCTTCCCTACACGATATTAGGCAGGTATACCAATTTTTTTGGCTCTTCAGTGAACTTGAAAATGAAACAGAAATGATAAGCGAATTTGATTGTAGAGAAAAGTGCTAGTGTTCTTAAATCATCTTATTTTTTAAATTATGCATATAATATTATTAAGATTGAGTTAGGATCTAATTATGTGAGGTTTAAAAGTGTTAAGTATATTGTTTGGATTTAAAACTAGTGATACCAAGATAAAAAAAAAGCAGTTTAAAAAAAAAGTCTGGTTAGCTTCAGTCTTTAGACATTGAATGTATGTAAATAATTATATTTCATTGTATTTATTTTACGTGAAGTTAAATTATAATATTTATTTACATTCTAATTTTATCTTGAATATTTTAGTTTGATATCTAAATTGAGTTACAAGTGAATTGTCTACTTATGTATACAGCAAAAGTCGAAGAATAATCTAGTGATTTTTAGTTTCAAAGTTAATTATTATACATCACTTCTAATGTAAAAATAGTATCTTACATTTAATTTGACAATTATAAAATTTAATTATAAATGTGAAATGTTTTGATTGTAACATAGTGCATTGATTTCAACCTAAAGTTTAAGGAAGTACTCAAACAGATTCATAAACTATTCCTTTGTTTTCCATGGAAAAGTTCTTCCAAGGGAGAGAGTTATAAAGTCTAAAAATATTAAAAAAACAATAGGCTAGCAGAAACATGAATAAAAGTATAAATGTTAAAAAATAAAGGGCTAGCAAAAGCGCGAATAAAATAAAATAAACACATAAAGAGAAAAGAAAAAGCAAGCGATAAAATTAGAATAACAATTTTGATGGAACAACAGAGAGTTTTTGATATTTTGGAGTAGTTGTTGGTTTTTGGAATTTGTAAGTTTATTCTAACCCGTTACGGGATTTTCTATATTTTATTGAAAGATTATTATAAACCCGTTACGGATAATTTAATGTCGTTACTGTATTTATTGTAGTGTGAAATAAGTGTTTTTTTAATAAAACAAAGAACTGTTTCTTAATATAGCTTGATACGTTACAACCTTCATGAAATAATCGTGTATGCTATTTGGAAATGAATAGGCAATGTTAACATTTTGAGAAAAGTATTAAACTCAAGGAGAGGGAAGGTCTTGTAATAGCAGACTATATTGATGGAGCAATAGGACTAAGCCATGATACTATTTATACAATCAACAGGGACAGGTTTAAATTCCATATAGCGCATGAATAAGTTGACAACAACTATAAGATATAGCACCACCCACCCTGTACTTGAGATCTGCTCCAATGTGTGTTCGGAGGGCTCAAAGCACTGCCAGAGCAATGATTTCAAACCGAAAGATAAAGTCAATTATGGCGCGTACCACTCTTTCAAAAACAGTCAATGTTTAAAATACAATGCATGCCATTGTACAGCTAGTTTCACAATGATATAAATATTCACAAAAAAAATAGAGACATTATCTTGAGTGTCATAAAAACGAAAGTTGTATTGAATAACCTCTGATTAGGTATTTATCGACTGAACTAATTACTTTGATTCTCCATTTTGTAGTATTATTTAATAAGAGAAATAATGTGGGGTTAGTATTGTCATTTTAAATAACACCATAAATCCATTCATAAAATGATAAATATCAACATACAATAAAAAAAAAAACCTAACCTGTAATACAAATTTTAGACACGCCCATAGCTTTGCATGCTAAAATAGTAGTCAATCCAATTGGACCTGAAAGGAAATTAAAATGAATATTTGTAGAGTTCAAACAGAATTAGGCTTAGAATTGTATATCAGGAAATAGAAATCTTATATTTGCTGTGTTTGAATTCAAACAAAATTTTTATAGGACATTTTTCCAGTTCTTTTTTTCGTACACCACTACCAATTCTTCGTCTCCCGTTTTAGTGCTTAATCTGAAATAATTGTATCGGGAAGATAATTTTTTAAGGGAAACTTTCCTTCCTTTTGTATCTTCATTCATAACTATATCTAAGGATGGCGTTGATATGGAGATGACTTTGACATTTGATACACTCCCGCCAATGGTATTGGTACCCACACAATTGATACCCACATAACAATTCATGGCCTTCCATTGAAATATTTTTCAAAGCTGAGTGAGTTATGATTTACAAGACACTGGTTTTTTCTCATGGACTTTTAACATAAACACTAATATAAAAATTTCTTTTCTAAAAAATGGAATTCAATTCATGTAATATAAATTTTTGATCGACTCTTAGCTTTGCATGTTAAATTAATTATACTTATATGCAACACAATTTGAAACGGAAGAATATTTAAATATATTTTGGATAAGGGGGCCTTTTATACATATTTAGGGGGCCTTTAATATGCATTTAGATAAGGGGCCTTTTATATATAAAAAGTGAAAAACTGCATTTTCGGCTAATTTTTTTTTATATCTAAATAGTAAAAATGCTGCTAAATCAAGAAAAAAATTATCAGATGTGCATGAAGGTGATGAAGATGAAAAGTGGGCAAAAACTGGTTTGAAAACCTTCAATCTGGCAATTTGATGCTAAAGAGGTAGCTCATTCTGGAAAAGGAGTTGCAGTTGAAGATACAATAAGGTTATTAAGTGATGCAAACCGGTGAATAAGAACTCTTGAAATTAATAAGAGATAAAATTTATCAAGTTCGTTCATGATCATTGGGCAAGCCTAGGTCTTATCTTAAAGTTCGGCCCATGGATTTCAATCACAGAAAAAGAAATTGAATACAAAAATGTAAAAAAAAATACTGGAAGAGAACTTCTCCATTTCATAATCTCAAATTATTTTCTCATAATTTATTTTCATTTTAATATTATTTTAATTTTTTTTCAATACGTAAAATTTCATGGATTATTCTTGGTTTAACTAAACTTTTTCAATACTATAAATTTTAAATTACTCATGGAGGTGAAAGAGAATTTCCGATGAAAGGTTTTTCGCACGCTATAGCGTCCTCTTGAGAAGCCGCAATGCTTGAATGGCAATAACCTACTAAAATTTGAACGCGTTTTTTTTTAAAATAAGGAAAAAATGAATAATTTCCAATCCGAGAGGTATTAAAGAGGATTCTATCGAGCATTATCGTTGTATTAAGAACACTGTTGTCCTGATAACGCGTTGGGCAGCAATTGCGTTATGCTACTATTTCTGCAAGAGCAAAAATCTGTTTTCAAATTCCAGTTTTAAAAACACCTTGAGAACAGACCTATAAAATAAAGCAGCGTCCTATTACTTCAACAAACTTGACCATTTCATTTTAAAAAAAACTAAACTCAGTGGCGGGACAGCCCATAAAGGACCAAGGCCTACTGTGACCATCTCAGTTTTCTTGACCTTAGGCTCTGAGGTGTAGAAGAAGATGTTCCGGTTAGATGGTCAGCCGAACGCGAAAACCCCCAATGTTTAGTTCCCAAGCATGCTTGGTACTCATTTATCGACCCACTGAAGGGATGAAAGGCTGAGTCAACCTTGCCCGGACCGGGGATCGAACCCAGGACCTGTGGCGTGGTAGCTCAAAGCGCTACCACTCAGCCACCGGGCGTCCATTTCATTTCAAACTTAATAAAAAATTACAGTGTTTTGCTAAGATATGTCTCACTGGATGAATAATTTACAAGCCAAAGGAATACGAGGTGAAAACGAGATTTATTTAAGGTAATTAACAACACTGGGGGTGGGCGTTTTTTCCCTTCTATTGCACGAGATTTTCTATCAGATCTTCATGGATATTTTCACGACACTGATTTTAGATTTACAATCAGTTTTTCTCTCCAAGCTACCGATTTTTTAATGGCATTTTTAGTCTATTTTTGACTAAATGTACAAGTTTATAAACGTTAAATATTACAGGCGGCCGCATAGATATTGAGACAAACTTCTTAGAGAGTCAATGCACAGCATTAGGATTAAAAGTGCATAGCAACCCATTCCAGGAAATTAAGTCGCACGCTACTAGGGGAGCTTACCTATTATGAACTGTTTCTTCGTGTGGATCTGAGCAGGTCATAATAGACGAAACGCCCCTAACCGCGTAAGATAACATTTACGGGCATGAGTTTTTAAATGATTTTAATACTAATGCTGTACCCTAGATATTTTTTGCAACATTTTCCCGACATTGTTGTATATAACGTTTTTAAACTTATACATTTCGATAAAAAATATAATAAAAATGACATTTAAAAAAATTTGTTGCTTTAGGAGTAAAACTAATTTCAGATTTGAAACCCTCACACCCAATTAGTGCAAGATCTGGTACTCGTGCAAATTTAACAAAAAAAAAGTCTCTATTGTGTAATTTATATGTTATGAAACATTTTCAGTTTTTTCTTTAATAAACTATGTAAGTATGTAACTATTAACTAGTATGTTAGACACATATTACATACCAGCTCCACATATGAGTACATATTGACCAGCAGTAACACCTGCTCTGCGGCAAGAATAAACTGCTACACACAGTGGCTCCGTCAAAGCACCTTCTTCTAATGTCACGTGATCAGGCAATCTGTAGTTGTTTTTAAAGAAATTGAATAATATTTAAATTTTCATTAATTATTTTATTTGCAATTACGTCTGACAAATTTATAGAAGTCTATAGATACAGTTAAATATTAAAATTAAATTGCGGACTGTCAATATAGAACTTGTGTAGTGAAATTGAAAATTTTCGAATCGTTTAATTTTTTATTTCATATAATCAGAAAGCAATGTCATGTTTACTCAATCAAAAAGTCCCGCAGTGTACTAATCGTTAAGACACGGTTCCCAGCAGATCACCGAAGTCAAGTATCACTGGCTACGGTCAGTGTGCGGGTGGGTGACCACTTGGATCAGCCTGCGTAAGGACCGAGGGTGTGCGGTATTGGTCCTCGTTAAACTGTTCTACCGTAAAGTGCTCGACTTCGCGTGCAGGTCGTCGAGCTACTGAAGCGGGGGTTCCATCCCCTCTGCAGAGGATCAAAATTGTGATGACGTGTCTTCGGATCATCCTCCAGGGATGTTTCCCAGACCGTCGCCAATAGCCCATTGTGCAGCTCTAGAGCGACGTAAATTAACAACAACAACAATCAATCAATCAAAAAATCAGGTAATAAAGTTAAGCAAAATTGCGCTTCTTTTTTAAACTTTTTACTAAACTATTATTCTACAGCTCATGTAAAAAAAAATTCAGCTTTTTTTTTAAAAAAATATTTTAAACTTTTTGTTTCATGGTTTTTTCGGACTATAGAGGCCTAATCCCGAAAAATAGCAGCACTATACTCCGTCACAAGTTAAAAAAGACCAATGTGTTATTCGGATTTAAGTAATCATCCGCGGTTTTATGTATATTGTTCCGTTTTATCCCATTATCAAATTAAACAAAGATACTTTTGAGATATTATAGAAGCTTTTAAAAGTCAAGCGTCAGACAGAAATTTAATTCGTACGATCTTTTACGACATATACCACAGCATTATTAAAAAAGGTTATAGTTTCCCAGTCTTATTATTATCCTAGACTTGGCGACATATTTCGATAAATAAGGAGAACATTCATTCGCTATAAAGAAGCAGCTATAAGGAGTTGCAAGAACATTGGATTTGATTGGATCACTGAAAATGGCGAGCCACATACTGACGTACTCTTAACAAATCAAATGTAAGATGGAGAGTTTTTACTATTGTTTCGATGTAGAAGAAAATCATCTACGAGAAACAATATTCATTATCCTTTCGTCAGTTTCTTTAAATGCAAACAGAAAGACGTATATTTTTTACGATTTTTGGTTATCACTTTTATTAATTATTATTACTTGTTAATTGATTATTGTTGTTGATAAGAAAGCAAGCAAAAAGGAGGCAACGTCGTTTCAAGAATTATGATGCTGATACACGTTCGCGCTTGGAGCATGGCTTCCATTTGACGCTTACTTAGATGCAAATAGGCTCTCTCCATAGAGAATATGGTTTTTTTTTTAACTTGCAACAGAGTATAGTTTGATTACCTATAAAAATGAACAACGTTAAAATATCCCAAATATAATGTAACTTAGTAGGATATACAGAGTGTTCATGAAGTCCCGGACCCATTTTGATGTTTAATAACTTATAAAATAATAAAGATAGATTAAAATTAATAACATAAGTGGTTATATAGACTCAAAAAGTTTCATGACCCTTGTCAATGAACATCCACGTGTGCCCCCTTCGTCGCACGGAGAATATCAAATCGATAGTCAATTTCACGCCAGGTAGCGGCAAGCATGTCGGCATCTACAGAGGCTATTGCGGTTGTAATTCTGGCTTTTAGGTCATCAGTGTTCAACACGATCCTCCTGTAAGCATTGTCCTTTATAACGTCAGACAGAAATTTAATTCGTACGATCTTTTACAATATACGAGTATATCATAGCCAAATAGCCCATATATCATATCAAAGAAAAAAGTCCAGCAGCGTTATATCAGGTGATCTGGGTGGTCAAGGAATTGGACCTCCTCGCCCAATCCATTTTCCTGGAAAATGGTCATTCAAATAACTACGAACGATGATACCCCAATAAGGTGGTGCACCATCTTGTTGCAAAAAGACATGTGGCTGAAACTCTTCTGGTTGCGGAAATACGAAGTTTTCGTTCGTAGTTCTTTAAATGACCATTTTCCAGGGGCTCGGGCCAGGGAGAATGTCGAGCTCTCGTACCACTGATCTCTATACTACAGAGATCAATAGGTATGGGGAGAACTCAGTGGGTATAAAGATCTCTAATCTATTGTGGTCTCTGTACTATAGGGGCCATGTAGCGATAAGTGCAATGTATCCCATACATCTTTTTTTTCTTATCTCTCTTTTTCTGTTTAATTATTTAACTAGATTTTCCTGCTGCACTATTCATTTATTAACTACTTCGTTTAATTATATACTAAGATTTTTCTTCTTATATCCCCCCTTTTATGCATTGTGTTAGCTTCCAGCTTCAACGGTGTAGTGAGGCTAGTGAGATATTCTGGAATATTTTAGTGAGGAAGAACGTGGTGCCGAAACTTAAGGAACACGTAAATAATTCTTGCTTTATGATCTTAACTTTTTTTATAAAAAAGCATGGATAAAGTTTTTTATCAAAGAGTTTTAATATAATTCGCTAGTAACATTGAAAAAATGAAGGGTAACTTCACAAACATGCTTGATAGAAATATAGATAAAAAAAACTGTGTTAGATTAATCAGTTGAAAAATTAACCATCAACTCCGGTAACCTTACATTTCAACTTTAAAGCCACAATTATGATATTTTATTCATTTGTAGCTGTTTATAGAAATGGTGGTTTAATATGAGGTAAATTTATTAATATGAGGTTTCAAGTAGTCATATTAATAAATAATTCACTCATCTAAGATTTTCTCTATATTAATTTTTAAAAAATAAATAAAAAAAGAAAGAAAGAATGAATTTGCAAGTAAAAATCTTTCAATTTGCTTTTCGAAAAATTATAGAAGTAGCTATAAAATGAAACTTATGAAACATAAGTAAAAATAAATGATAGTGAAAGAAGATTTGCACTGCAACACTGCTTAAGTTTTTACATACGTAGTACTAAGTAATCCTTCTGTTTACTTGGTTACTAGTTTGATTGTTGAAGAGAGTTTGACAGTGTGGATTCTTAGATTTTTTATTTTTCTTTAATTTCTTCTTTAGATTTTGATTGTTAGACAGTTTTTGAGCGTGACTGCGGGAGAGTTTGAATGTTGGAAAGTTTTTGAGAGTTTGTCTGCAAGAGAGTTTGTCTGCAAGAGAGTTTGATTGTAAGAGAGTTTTTGAGAGTGTGATTGCTAGAGAGTTTGATTGTTAGAGAGTTTTTGAGAGTGTGTCTGCTGGAGAGTTTGATTATTGGAGAGATTTTGAGAATGTGATTGCTGTAGAGTTTGATTGCTGAAGAGTTTTTGAGAGTGTGTCTGCTGAAGAGCTTGATTGTAAGAGAATTTTTGAGAATGTGTCTGCTGAGGAGTTTGATTATTGGAGAGATTTTGAGGATGTGAATGCTGGAGAGATTGATTGCTGAAGAGTTTTTGAGAGTGTGCCTGCTGAAGAGTTTGATTATTGGAGAGATTTTGAGAATGTGATTGCTGGAGAGTTTGATTGCCGAGGAGTTTTTGAGAGTGTGTCTGCTGAAGAGTTTGATTATATTATTGGAGAGATTTTGAGGATGTGATTCTGGAGAAATTATTTGCTGAAGAGTTTTTGAGAGTGCGTCTGCTGAAGAGTTTGATTGTAAGAGAATTTTTGAGAATGTGTCTGCTGAGGAGTTTGATTATTGGAGAGATTTTGAGGATGTGACTGCTGGAGAGATTGAATGCTGAAGAGTTTTTGAGAGTGTGCCTGCTGAAGAGTTTGATTATTGGAGAGATTTTGAGAATGTGATTGCTGGAGAGTTTGATTGCCGAGGAGTTTTTGAGAGTGTGACTGATGGATAGTTGGATGGTTGGAAGCTTTGAATGTTGATACATGATAACTCTCGTTTTTTTTTATAATATAATAAGATCCCTTTATTTAAAACTAGGAAATTCTTTCTCTCAGTGCATAAAATAAAATAAAAACAGTCGCAATTCGATGAGAGCCGCCTATATTTGCATTGTATTTACCTCTACAGTTTGGTAATTTGAAATTATACAGGGGCCTAGGCCAATAGGCCCATACGCCAAATACAGTGGATCATTGAAATAGGTCAACAGACCCTTATATAAATAAAATACAAAAATTATATATATATAAAATACAAAAATTATTAACCCTTATATAAATAAAATACAAAATTTATATATATAAAAATACAAAAATTATTAACCCTGAGACAACCAGTAAAAACTGAGTGAGCTGTGAGCCAGAGCTGGTGGACCCCTCAATACAAGACAAAAAATCCAACAATTGCACCAAAAACAGCCGTAAATACAACTCATAAAACCACCAAAAGGTGAAAGGATAAAATAACATAAATGAATATAGTGCTAAAATTGATAGGTTAAAACTGAGACAAAATCACAGATGTATACACTTGCAAATTGAGCATTGAAAGGATCCAGCCAATCAAGCCAGCTTGAATCATGCTGGTAGAACCAAAATAGTGAGGGTGAAGTAGTAACAAGTAGTTAAAATGTAGAACAACAAGTAAAGCACAGTAAATTCAATTAAAGTACCAAAAAAAAATACAGAGGATAAAATACCAATAGATACTAAAAGGTAAGAGCTAAAAGGGGGTGTGTAACAATCTAAAAACCGTGTATAAAATACAATCGCAATGTAAAATACCAAATGTATTAAAATCCAAAGGTTGTAAACAAACCTAAAGCATGTGTAAAATGCAAAGTCAAGTTAAAACACTAAAATGGCAATGTGATCCAAAAAAAAAAGTTTTGGCAAGGTGGTTAAATTAAGCAGGTTAAAATTTTAGTTATTGTCAATTTCGTTTATTAATGCTATATGTTCCTCAAGAGTAGTTTTAATGATAATCTTAATAATTTCTCTACAGACCTTGTCTGCAAAAATTTGTTGGTCTGTTTTTTGGAAAAAATAATTTCTTCGGAGTGTCCGGTACCGATCACAATTATATAAAAGATGCTCTATGGTTTGTCTTTGGTTACAGTTTGAGCAAATATCTGATTTATTAAAAAATTTGCTTTGGTGTACTCCGAGCACTCCGTGCCCCGTCAGAAATTGGTTAAAATAGAAATTAGTTTGCAACCTTGTAGTTGACGGGGTCTTAATGAATTTAAATGTATGCCTGCCTTTCTCAGAATTTTCCCAATTGGTTTTCCACCTTGCCATTAAATATTGCTTGATTTCGGTTTTGGTTTGATTGGGGGTCTTCAGAACCTGGAGATCTACACTGTCAGAATCAATGGCCTCCTTTGCTGCCCTGTCTGCCTCCTCATTGCTCTGGATCCCCACATGTGCTTTTACCCAGTTCAAAATAGTGTTCTCATTCCAAATTTTTTTAGTCTATTCTATAAATTTGGAACTGGGTTCTGGGTCAGCCAGGGCCTGGAGGGATGACAGTGAGTCTGAAAAAATCGTTGCATGTGTAATATCATGTTGACGTAGCCATATCAGGGCAGACTTGATTGCCAACAGCTCTGCAATAAATATGTTGGTGCTATCAGTGACTCTAGTGGAGGCTTTGAAAATCGTGACACCGTTGTTCTTGACTATCATTGCGTGTAAAGTCCTGAATTTATTCGGACAGTCTGCCTCCATCCGAGAGCCATCAGTGTAGATCTCCACTCCCTGATCTTTAGGGCTGCTATATCCCCAGGGCAAGGCAATGTAATCTGATGGATGCTCTAGGGCTGGTTTCTCAAAATCAATGTTATGATCAAAATCAATTGGTAGAGTATAATTTATGTCCTCGAGTCTCCAGCCCCACCTCACCCTTTTGCAAAAGATGTCCTCCACGATTTTCAGACTAATTGGCATAACACCCGCCAGTATCTGGATTGCCTTTGTGCTCGTTGTAGCATAGGCATTCGTGATAGTTAAGAGTGGTATTCGCTGGATACTGTTTAATTTTTCGTTAATTCTCCTAGTTTGGTAAAACTGTTGAGAGGATTCTAAACACATTCCGTGTCAGATTGTTAGTTTAAAATGCAAAAAAAAAATTGTTTTCGCTGTCTTAGACAGCAATGCTAGAGAAGCTGCGATTAAACAAGGAAAAAAAAGCAATATTCTGCTTATCTTTTAAACGAAAATTCAAAAATAAATAAATTAATCAAATTCTTGCTAAAAAAAGAAGAAAAAAACAATTCAGAGGTTCTTCTAGACTTAGGAGTAAAAAAATATTTTTGATTTCACACGAAGAAAGCAAAATATGTGGAAGAAAAGCATGTTTCAAATCACGCATTAAACTTTTTTTTCTTCTTCATCTACAGCTCAGAGCAAGCAGGATGATCCCAATAAGTTAAAAATTGCATTGAACTTAAATACGATTTAATTTAAATATGATTCATCTGAATCACTCGAAAATGAAAGTAATTACACAAATTTACCTTCAAAATAATTTCTAACGGAATTTGAAAACAATTACAGAAATTAAATAATTATATAAATTTACCTTCAAATCACTTTTTAAATGAAGTTGAAAGCAAGTACTTAAATTTACCTTCAAGTCACTTTTCAAACAAATTTGAAAACAATTACAAAAATTTATTTTCAAATCACGTTCCAAATGAATTTGAAAACAAGTACTTAATTTTACCTTCAAACCACTTTTCAAACAAATTTGAAAACAATTACATAAATTTACTTTCAAATCACGTTCCAAATGAATTTGAAAACAAATATATAAATTTACCTTCAAATCACTTTTTAAATGAAATTGAAAACAAGTACTTCAATTTACCTTCAAACCACTTTTCAAATAAATTTGAAAACAATTACATAAATTTACTTTCAAATCACGTTTCAAATGAATTTGTAAATAATCATATAAATTTACCTTCAAACCACTTTTTAAATGAATTTGAAAACAATTACTTGTAGCAAAAGTCAGCGTCATGACAAAAGTAGCGACACAGTGTACCATCAGTCGGCGGAGTAGCACAAAATCTCTCTTCGGGACAAATATTATACTTTCCTTTTCTACACAAATCGCATCTCCCACATCCTATGCCAGGCTCAATACATACTCTATCACCTTTAAATAAATAAAATAGTTAAATTTTTTAAACATCATTATGGCTAAAAACATTATACGTACACTCTGATCTAAAAATAACAGATATTTGAAAAATAGTTCCCCAAAAAATGAACAAGGAGAAAACACTTTTGGTTTAATTATCGTGCAGTATTGAAATGACATTTCTGGTTTAAAAAAAACTATCATTCTGGTAATAAAACCAAAATATACGGTATTTAAATAATTCATTTGTAGTTTTTTCCGTTTATTATGTAATGTTTCACCGAAAATTCTGCTTTTCAAAATTATAATTCTTATTCCACACATTTAGTAAAATATACAAAACTGCGAAGTAAATTTTACCGAATAAATGGTTTTTATACATTGGTATTATATGATTTTAATGATTTCATACATTGGTATATATACATTGGTATTGGTATTAAATGGTTTTATATCATTATACAATTGCATAATTTTACCACATTAACCGAATTTTATAACATAATCTAAGGCCACATTTTATTGATAATTTTACCAATATCATTACGTTTTGGTAAAGATAATCGAGCTTTTTGGTGTACCCAAAGAGCCAGAAGCACATTAAATGTTACCACTGATAATTCTCACCATATTTTTTTTCTCAGTGTACAGTCCGCAAAAAAAAACGAATCACCCTGAATAACTTTCGTTCTAATGATTGGATTTTCACGAACTAAGTGTCAATCTTAATGATTCCTGGGAGTGACCTCAAATATGATAATTAATTAGTGCTAACTATTAATTAAGTTACGAAATCAGACACAAAAACGTACTTTCTCTGAATAAACATCTTAGTACTCTNTCTCACCATATTTTTTTTCTCAGTGTACATTAGAACCTCGATAATCCAAAATACACGGTAATTCGAGCCGATATTATTTTCCAAGCATTATAAGTGAAGAAAAATTTTTCTATGAATATTATTAAGCTGCAAAAAATCACCACTCGGTAAATAATACATTAGACATATAAAATATGGATTTTTAAATAATTTGAAAATAAATAATGCAAATTATTCATGATTTAAAAATATACATTATTAAACTACAAAAACTCAACCACTCTGTTAATAATACATTAGACACATTAAATATGGATTTTTACTAAAGTGAGGTGAAATCTGAGCTACAAATTTACATTAAAATATAATAATGATACCTGGTTTCAAGTGTTTTACGTTTTCTCCAACCTTTATAACAGTGCCACTTGACTCATGACCTAAAACCATGGGTTTCTCTACTATGAAGTCTCCAAGACGGCCATCCTTCCAAAAGTGAACGTCGGATCCACAAATTCCTACGCAAGACATGGCTATCAGAGCCTCTAAAATGTTAATAAATAAGGTAAAGTATTATGAAGTAGTAAGAATTTTTAAAGGCAAGACTTCTAAAATGTTAATAAATAAGGTAAAGTATTATGGAATAGTAAAATTTTTTAAAGGCAAGACTTTTAGAATGTTAATAAATAAGGTAAAGTATTATGGAGTAGTAAGAATTTTTAAAGGCAAGACTTCTAAAATGATAATAAATAAGGTAAAGTATTATAGAGTAGGAAAACTTTTTAAAGGCAAGACTTCTAAAATGTTAATAAATAAGGTAAAGTATTATGGAGTAGTAAGAATTTTTAAAGGCAAGACATGTAAAATGTTAATAAATAAGGTAAAGTATTATGGAGAAGTAAGAATTTTTAAAGGCAAGACTAACTAACCTATATCTTGAGATATTGGATAAAGATTTTCGTAGTTTTCCTTAGACAAATATAGATTAAATGAAAAACTATAGCTTTTCAAATAGTTTATGAATGATATTCTCCGTAGAACAAGATTGCCCCCAGATCTTACAATAGGGTAGTTATACTATCTGACTCCAAAGCTGTCATTCAAGCTATTAGATCTCGTGAAATATCTATCTCTAGGACTATCCAGGATTGCCAGGCTCTCCTGGAGAGTTTGAGGATAGAAGGGAGACAAATAACACTCCAAGGGATCCCAAGACATTGCGATATCTTCGGCAATGAACAGGCCGATATGCTGACTAAGAAAGGCACTCAGATAATTCAGCAGCCAAGCACTCTTAAATCCTTTCATTCGGCAAAACTCTATATCAAACATTTTATGAGACAAAACTGGAAAGAGTTGCTCACTTCTCGTATTTCTTCAAGGAGTTGGAGGAACAGCTTAGAACAGGGTATTGCCGATACGCCCCGCAATAAAGCTGTTGCAGATTTCAGACTTGCGGTGGGCCATGATTGCCTGGCGAGCCACCTCTGCCACATCGGCATTCTCGCTGACACAAATTGCCCGTTATGCTCGAATAATGAACTTATGGACAGGAACCATCTACTGAGCTCGGTTCTGCATGGGGACTCTGAGGTGAGGCCCTACGGGAGTGCCCGACGTCTGTTAATGAGACAGTGACTTTTTTCTCTTACTTGTTGCTCACCTTTTTGTTCACAGTTTTTGTAAGAGTTTGTCATTTTCTTTTGCCATTTGAAATAAAAAAATTAAAAAAAATATTCTCCGTAAAAACGTCAAACTATCCCGTCTTACCTCGATTATGGAGTACGACAGGGTCCTAAAGTCAACTCTCAGTACATTAGGCGACTATTTTTATATTAAGTTAAATTCTATGAAGGGGTAATATAATCATTACTCTATCACAGATACTAATGCTAAATCTATAATTTAGCATTAGTACCCGTTTGGACACTAGTGTAAATTGCATTGAAAAATCTAGAATTTCAGTAATTCAATTTTTAATCTTTTATCCTTCTTGTTTTCTTCTTTTTTCGCTTAACCTTTTGACGCAGATGGGACACCGGTGTCCTTTCTGTATATCTATTTTTTGACGCTAATTGCAAGTAATTTTTATACTTTTTAATCATAAGAAACAGTCTAATAGTTTCTAAAAAATTATTAGAATATCGGAATTATATTTGTACTAAAATATTAAATCCAAAAAAAAGTAATTTGAAGAGAAAAAAAAATCGTTCATGTTCAAAAAACTTATTTAATAACTAATTTTGTTAACAAAAAAAATTTCGATGATAATAAATTGTTTCTCTTAAATCAAAATGGTTGAAAATATGGGCACATTTGAAAAATTATTATTTGGAAATCAGTTGTGTTTGGAAGATTTACCTTTAACGCAGTAAAAAACGCCTGCGTTTCTTGCAGTATTTCCTAAACATAAATTATTAAAACGTTAAATACTATATTCTTCTCTCATTTTTCCCAAAATTAAAACAAATAATAAAAATATAAGTTTAATAAAAATTCTGCCTTGAAAGGTTAAAAGTGAAATTGCTTAGACATCCCACTTTTTTGCAACAAAACAATTTGTCAAATTAGCCAAATCCATATTGTTTGGCATTAATTTGCTTTTTCAAAAATAATAGAATTGTTAATTCGTAGGAGTCTTGGTGATTTTTTTTTCCCTTTTTACCTCCTTAAATTTGCTTCTTTGGTTTTTGAGAGTGCATGATATCGTTTGTGTTTTGCTTAATGGAGATTAATTATTCAAACAAACTTTTTTTTATTCAAACACATTCAAACTTTTTTTTATTTAGCAGAAAATTTAAAGATTTAAGGTATGCTTATGCAAGATATCAACACACAAAATATCATTTGTAACCGATTGTACAAAAAAAAATAGTTTAATGGTTAGTACGATGAAAAATAATTATATTCGGAAGCATAATGCATTAGGAAATCAGCTCTGAAAAAGTACTGCAAAATATGTACTTATAAAAGTGTGAATGTACACAAACTCGGCTTAAGGGCAATCAAAACGGGCAATGATCCGTAATGTTCGCAGTTAATACATGTTTTGGAAGGCATAGCATAATATGCAATATACGTAATTACGTAATATGTATATTACGTAAAAATATTGGGAATGAAGTACACGAATTTCATTTCCTTACCATGCGATCCAGGTTCAGGAATTTTCCTTTTTTCCTGAAATATAAAATAAAACAATAAATCAGAAATATATACTTAAAATCAGAAATTTAAGTGTGTATTGACTAATAATTTAATTAACTAATGATTAAATTTAATTAAAAATTTAATTAACTAATAATTTAATAGTTCACATATATAGCAAACGCTTACCGAAGTTAATGAAAAGTGTAAATATAATAACATCAATTATCTTTATAATACAAAGCAAAAACATGCTAACACATGAAACTCTAGTTGAATTAGAAAGATAAAAATTTAGGAAATCAAATAATTCAATTGCTGTTATGCATATTTTATAGATATTTTCTAAAATATTTTTTTTTCTAATACTTACAAGACACAGCTCATTTTTCTTTCTTAAAACCAAACTTATATTATCTCCATCCATTTCGATTATAAATCATGAAAAAAGAGCAAACTGTAATACAGAATAGAAGAATCATGAAATGCTAATTATATAATAACTATTCACANCGAATAAAAAAACGAATGAAACTTTGCACAAAGTAGCCCCACAGTGCATTTTTTTTCATTCTCCGTTTATTTGTAATTAATTTTAAAAAATTTTTATAGCTAACATGATATAATAGTTTTTAAATATATAAATAAAAAATTTTGCACTTACGACAATTGTTTTATCAACGACTTTGCATTTCACAACTAAAGTTTCCACGCACACTTTTCGCCGTCCGACGTTCTCGGAAAGTTGCTGACATTGGATAAACAAAACACACTCGGAGATTGTTTTAAAATTCGAGAATTTTTTTTTAGTAATAGAGGAGACTTCTGTCTTCAAATTCCACACATTTTTAACTTGAAAAAAACATAATACTGAATAGCAGCACTTGAAAAGTGCCAAATTCGAATTTGCACAAAGTAGCCCCCACTGCACAAAGTAGCCCCACTTGACAGTAAATATAATAACATCAATTATCTTTATAATACAAAGCAGAAACATGCTAACACATGAAACTCTAGTTGAATCAGAAAGATGAAAATTTAGGAAATAATGGATAAGCCGCGTATTTTCTCCATCAAATAATTCAACTGATGTTATGCATATTTTATAGATATTTGCTAAACTATTTTTTTTCTAATACTTACAAGGCACAGCTCATTTTTCTTTCTTAAAACCAAACTTATATTATCTCCATCCATTTCGATTATAAATCATGAAAAAAGAGCAAACTGTAATACAGAATAGAAGAATCATGAAATGCTAATTATATAATAACTATTCACAATTAAATACATATATAATATACAACTTATGAATGACATTTCATTATTAAATGATACCATTAAAAAACCTGAACTAAAACAAAACGCGTCTGTTCAAACAAAATGACATAATGTAAACGATTACATACACAACTTTTACAGTTATCTTCTCAACTCTCCTGTTACTTTTTAGATTTCGCGAAGGATAATCACTCCTTCATCAACTATCACAGTAAAAATGTATAATTTTCTTTATTATTTACTGAACTCTAAAGAGAAAAATGGGAGAGCTGAATGAACAAAACAATTAAAGATAAAGGCAATTTATCAGTTTTCAAAGGGAATAGGTTCTTAGAGATCATATACAAAAATGCATCGAGATAGTAAAACTTTATGGTAAGATAATAAACCTTAGAAAATTTCATTGTTGAGTTAATGAAGAAATTAAAACAAGGATATGAAAATTTGGCATTTAAACGTTTAAAAAATTAATATTTGAAAAAAAAATACATTTTAAAGATTAAAAGGAAATAACTGTTTTGATTCTTAAATAAATTAAAAAAAAAAAAAGAATTTTAAAGAAAAAAGTAAATTTCTAAGCTTCAATGTATTTTAGCTTAGAAATGTGTTTCTAGTATAGCTCTTCAACATAATTCCAGCTTTTGCACTCATCAATTCCCACGGTTGCAAATTTTGTTATCAACGGTAACTTTTTCTAGTTTCTGTTACTCTCTGGATAAATTTCATGCAGGAATAAAAATGGTGTGGAAACTATCAAACAGATATAATAACAATATTTATAAGTGCCACTACCCAGTATGTATTTTACCGGCACTCCGAACACTGATGTTTCCCCTAATCAATCCTGAGCAGATACTAAAATATCGAATAAATATGATAATATCAACATATCAACAAGTAACTTATTTTCAAATCGAATATAACATTTTTCGAACATTCAAGGTAACATATATATATATATATATATATATGTAATGCAAAAATTATAAATACTTTTGTATTAATAAAAGCATTAAAACTCTTTCGTTTTTATAAAATATCTTCGGTAAAGGATAAGTGTAGAAATTCTATTTTGGGACTTCAGGGTTGAAAACATATCAATGAATAATAATTAGATTTATATTTCAAAAGAGCAGCTATTTCAAGATCTTTCACTTCCATATAAGGAAGGATTAAACGATTTTCTATGAGTAATAAATAATTTTGATGAGGCGTAAGAATACAGGGAATGCAATATGACTGGCCTCTTTTCACAGTTTAATTATCATATTAAACGGAGGAGCGATGGCTTTTGCGCGCTTTTTGGTGTATAATGTTCACCAACTAAACTCCGTCAGATCTGACGGGAACTTTGTCTCCCCCTCTCCAGCTGGGAGAGCGGGATGTGACTTCGGCTTCACGATCTATTAGTAAATAAAAGCTTGTGCACAACATAGCCTCATTATTCCTGTTTTCTTGACTAATAAATTCACTAAAATATCGGGGTTGTTGCCCTGATATATATATATATAATATGTTACCGGCAAAGTATAAAATACATCTCCGATTCGTTTCAAATATCACTTGGCAAGACTCGTGACTTTTGACTAATAACAAAAATTATTTTTTTACTGTGCTACATGGAAATGGAGGAATTTAATGAAATTTACATGGAAAAANATATATATTGTGACATTGTGTCACTTACTAATTTTTAGATCGTAATCTTATATAGTCCCTGCAGTCAATTTTGTATTTTTTACACTTTCCCATATTGCAGTGGTTTGGAATGTCGCTCACCCTCAAAATTCCCTGAATCGCAGGTGGCCGGCTTTCTTCGAAGTTTCTGTGTGAATCCCCTTACTTGCACTCTTTTTCCTATTTCTCAACCGTAACTACCTTAAATTTTTAAACACTTTAACTTTTATTTTAAATTTTTACTCCTATCTTAACCGTAACTTCTAATTTTTTCTAACTGCAACTCATATTTAGCATTTCCCTATTTAAGGGACTGCCGAACTCAACTCGATGCATTCGATTTTTTGTATTGGCTAGAACAGTGGTTACCAACTGGCGGCCCGCGGGTCAGGTCCGGCACGCGGAGCCTTTTTTGTGGCCCGCGAACTAAAATATATTAATTGTTATTTTTTTGCGGACAATTTTCTTAAAAAATCTTTATGGGTTTAAAATACTTTTCTTTCGTTAAAAAAAGCCTAATTTCTTCGTTTGTGTGAAATTTAACATACCAACCGTGCAAGAAAATTTTATCCTCAGGTAAAAATCTACTTCATATTTTGATTTGTAATTCAATACTTTTGTTTTGTACAACTTGATAAAAATCTGACAGTAATATTTAATGTTTCTTCAACATAAACATAAAACATTTAAACATAAAACAGTCCTATATAAAATGTTGATTAAGTTGTGGCACTCATTTGACTGGTGTTTTTAATTGTGGCCCCTGGGCTAGAAGTACAACTCACGGGTCCGTGCTATTTGGACAGCTTTCACAGTTTTACCCTTCACTCTTAAGGATGCTTGGAAGAATGATGCGACCATTTCATCGAAATGATTTCACGTTTTCATGCCCACCATTGCGCTCTTGATGGATGTAATTTTTACGATTCCAGCCTTGTTTTGAATCTTGATGTGCTGAAATGGTTTTCATGGGATGTGCATTTTTGAGCGTCGCATCATCCACCCACTAATGAAATCCTTGAGCAGTGCGTGTTTGAGATCAAGTTTTCTACAGCTTTTGCTACTGATGTATTGAATCTTGAAGCGTCGATTCCATCTCCCACTCTACCAGCACGATGTTGTTTTGTGTAGGTCACGTGATGCTTTTGGATCTAAATAAAGGATTTTTCTGACATCTTCTATTTTACGGCTCCCTTATGAAAAAATCGAGACGTAAATGAGGCATAAACGAGGCATATTTTAAAGATACAAAGGAGGTTGCAATTTAAATACTTCGTTAGGTTGAAAAGGGTACGCATTAATACCTCAAAATCCACCACAAGTTTACCTTAAATATACCTTCAGAGGTATATATGTTTCAACCTGAGATGTTTAATTTTACATCTTTGGAGAGGTAGATATTTACTACTTTAAGGTGTTTTATTTTCGACTTTAGCTTATTACTTATCAACCTGAAGTATATTTTTTTACACTTGTGGAAGTATTTATTCAACAACCTAAAGTGTTTCATTTAACACTTCAGGTTATTATAAATCTACCTCGGATGTATTTTTTGATAGTTGGAAAGGTAATTTTTTACTAACGTGAAGTGTATTATGTTCAATCTCAGGTAATTATTTTCAACCTCAGGTATTTAATTTCATGTTTGTAGAGGTATTTGTTTATCAACCTATGGCTTGCCGTTTTACTCTTCAGGTTGTTATAAATCAACCTCAAGTGTATTTTTCGACAGTTGGATAGCTTGATTTTTATGAACATGAGGTGTTCTATGTTCTACTTTAGGTTGTTATTTTTCAACCTCAAATGTAGATTTATATAGTTGTTGAGGTATTTATTTATCTACCTAAGGTGTTACCATTTTACACTTCTGGTTGGTTTGAATCAACCTCAAGTGAATTTTCGACACTTGGAAAGGTTATTTTTTATTAACGTCATGTGTTCCATGACCTACATTAGGTTAATACCTCGCAACCTCAAGTACATATTTTTGTATTTTTAGAAGTATTAATTTATCAACCTATGATGCGACATTTTACACTTCAGGCTTATGTATCTCAGCCTAAAGCTGTTTTTTTTAGTACTTACGAAGGTAATAATTCCCAAACTGGAGGTATTATACAGTCCACCTACTAGTTTATCAATTTTTAACCTAACTATGCATAAAATATAATATATATAAATATATTATATATATGATATGAAGAATAATGTATATCATTATATTTTTTCACTAGAGATCTTCATTTATCAACCTGAAGTTTTTACTATTAAACCTTCGGCAGTAATTGCTTCTTTTGTTAAGCCTTAAGAGAAAGTTTCAAATGCATAATTCTTCTGTAATTTTAATAGATTGAATTAAATCATCTTGAAATAACACTTATCCAAATTTTACAGCTCGGAAAAATTATTTATGGGAACTCATATTTTTAGAAGATAGTTGTCTAAGGTGCTTGAATTTTTAAAGCTATAAAACTACAAATTTGAATAATTAGTCTGCTGAAATTCAAATTACTTTTATTTAAAACTAGAAATTAATTTTTTTTACAAACCAACAAAATTGTTTTAAATACTGTTTCCGTCTACCTGTTGAAACTTGTAATTATTGGAACCTAAGAGGAAAAAAATATGAGTTAGTAAGAAAGTCATATTTACAATAGGGGCAGGTTTTTAAATATCAAAAAAATAGAAATTGTTTTTTTATGATTTAAGTTAACTGGATGAAATTAATTTTCTTTTTCAGATAAATAGCATTATTTTGATATTTTTTAATTAATGTAATCAAGAATCAACAATCGTTTAATAAATTATAATTTTAAAGTTATGCACCAATTTGTATTCTTTTTTTACACTCAATCGAATAGAACTAATTGCAAGCTGATAAGGAGCATTTATTTTAAATGTGAGTACAATATCTCCTATATAACTTATACTACCGAGCAGAATGAAACTAAAAGTTAGTTGTCTAATAAAACTAAAAGTATATAAAAACACATCCCATAGGATGAAATCCAAAAAAATCCATATAACTTTCAACAATAAATGTTTTTATTTGCAATTTATTTTATTCAATTCAGCATTAAAACTGCATTAGAAACTATACTGACTTATTTCTAAAAAATTGAAAATTTCCGAAATTCACTAATTTTTGAATTAGTGAACCATAAACAGCTGCATAAAAATGCTTCTAACCTTGAAACACATTGTCATGTAAACTTGAAATAGAGTTTTATTTAATTCTGCTCAATATTCTTATAGGTAATAACAATCTGCTTAGTAAATAATTAACGTGGGAAAATTGCGAAAAATGACATGTAGTGAAAAATAGCAGTTTTGAGATCAAACGTGAAAAAGTGAGCTATTACAATTACTAGTTTTCAATTATCAAATATCTAGCAAATTATTGTTATCAACAATTACATAAATTCAGCAGTTTATTAGGAGAAATTGCCTTTTCTTTTTGTCATAAATTCAGAACTATTTCCCAGGGGAAGGTAGAGCAGTAGCTTACTAGCCACTTCTTTTTCGTTGCTGCACACGTGCTATTTACAGCCTGGGACATCTCAGCAACATCAGGAAACTGTAGATAAGCTCTCTCTCTCTCTCTCTCTCTTTCTCTATCTATCTATCTATATATCATAGGATGAAATC